ATTTTATGATAACACATCAACATCAACAACACCATCACCATTAAAATTTTTCACGACAAATACTAAAATAAAACCTAAACTAAATATTAAGTATGTTTTTATTAACAAAATAAAGTTTAAATATCAAAACATAATAAAAGTAATAAGTTACATGATGAATGTGTAATTTATGCATTTATTGATCATTGAAGGGATAGTTGTGGACCAGACCTCGTGCAACTTCAAAAGTTCGGGGGGAAAATGAAAATGCAAGAAAAATGTAAGTCGAAAATTATTTTTGAAAAATCTTTCATTTTTTCAATGAAGCACATAAATAGAGAATAAAAAATTACATCTTTCTACGTTTTTACCTTTATTTTTCTACCCTTCTAATTTTCTGTAGGCGTTTCACAAATACGCATTAGATTCTACAGCACAATCGTATCATTGTTTAAACTTAGAGCAGATGATTTGATTCGACGTATGTTTTTGTGCTTCAGGTTATGGATGTATTCAACAAAATATTAGAAATCTAGAGGTTTCAGTAGCTGCACTTGAAGTTGATTCAATGCTGACTATTAGAATTAGGCTCATACACAACGTCTGTAACTAGCATGTCCTTTATATAAAAGGAGCAAAAGCCAAACTTCGATCAACAATATGACAATAACATGTCCAACATCTTTCCTGTTCTAACATTACTATAGAAATGCAAACCTCCAAAGTCCAAACATAAGAAAACATTTAAAAGAAAATTGAACATACGTCGGCACTCGAACTCCAAGTTTGGTTAACAGACTACATATACACAGCAAAGCAGAAAATCGATTCTGCTCGGTTCATGCAAGCAATATGCTATAGAACATAACTACACACCGATTGTTGCAGAAGACGGCTATCGGATATAGCAAAATCGCAACTGATAATTTGAGAAAATAAAAATAAAGATAAAAGAGACAAAATTTACATGAAAAAACCCTAAATAATATAGGGTAAAAACCACGGGCAAATACAGAATAATTTCACTATGAGAATCTCGATCTATCAAGAATAAAACAATGATAATTATCTCTTGATAAAAACGAGAAAACAACTCTAAAAAAACTCTCTAAATTCTCTAGTATTGGAAGAAAGCTAGAATGCTTTGGGATGATTTTGAAGCTAAATGGGTTAGGGTATTTATAGTTGAAGCTTAAGGACTAATCTTAAAAATACCCTAAAGTACAACAATGACTAAATGTGAGATTGTACCTTTATCATTTTTTCAACAATTAACACTTCTTTTGACAATTCCACCATTCGGCAGAATTATATAATTATTTCCCCAACTTTCGGTGCAAGTTGGCACCGATTTTCAATAATCTCCCACTTGAAGATTTGATTGGAACAATCATATCTTCACACCATTCTTTCTACCTGGTACCTTTATTTTGCTTATGTCTCTGACAGGCCACAAGAGGATCAACACCAGGTAAATTTATCAGCGTTGATCGTCTTCTTCATGAAATTTTCTATGTTGTCTTTGCTATGGATCTTCTGCATATCTATCGTCCCTTCTTCTACCTTTTCACGAATGAAATGATATTGAACTCGTATGTGATTTGTCCTTGAATGAAATGTTGAATTCCTTACTAGATGCAAAGCGCTTTGACTGTCACAAAACATAGAGACATACTCTTGATTGTGCCCAAACTCCTCTAATAGAATCTTCAACCAAATTGCTTCTTTACTGGTTTGTATAGCTGCTACATATTCTGCCTCTGTTGTGGACGTAGCCACAACTGATTGCAATTTTGAAACCCAGCTTACAGCTCCACTAGCAACTTTGAAAACATATCCTGTAGCAGATTTGCTTTTATCCAAATCCCTTGCATAGTCAGAATCTACATACCCATTTATTAGTAAGTTTGATCATCCGTAACATAATGCAACATTTGAGGTTCCTTTGATGTATCTCAGTATCCTTTTTATTGTATTCCAATGCTCTTTGTCTGGATTCGCCATGTACCGACTAACCACTCCCACTGCTTGTGCAATGTCTGGTCTTGTGCATATCATAGTGAATATTAAACTTCCCATTACTGAGGCATACGGTACTCGAGACATCTTCATCCTCTCTTCTTCACTGCTATGACTCATACTGGTGGATAATTTGAAGTTAATAGGAAGAGGGATAGAAATTGGCTTACAATCTTGCATGTTGAATCGTGACAAGATCTTCTTCAAGTAATTATTTTGTGAAAGCCAAATCTTCCTATTACTTTTGTCTCGAAAAATTTGCATCCCTAGAATCTTGTTTGCTGATCCCAAGTCCTTCATTTCAAATTCCCTAGCCAATTGTGCCTTCAATTCTTCAATATGATCTTTGTTGGGTCCTGCAACCAACATGTCATCCACATACAACAACAATATAACAAAATCGTTATTACCAGACCTCTTGAAATAAGCACAAAGATGATATTTCTAGGCTTGCATCCCTCGACATTGCTACTATTCTTTCTAACAAGGTTCTGTTCATCCGCTCTGCCACTCCATTTTGTTGAGGAGTATTTGCCACTGTGAACTGTCTTTTGATGCCTTATTTTCTGCAAAAGTCATCAAATTCTTCACTTGTGTATTCTCATCCATTATCTGTTCTGAAACACTTGATCTTATTTCCATAATCCAGTTCCACCCGCGCTTTGAAGTTTTTGAAAGTTAAAAACACATCTGACCTCTTCTTAATAAAGTACACCCAATATCTCCTGGAGTAGTCATCAATACATGAGACAAAGTATTTTGCTCCACCTAAGTATGTAACTGGTGCTTGCCATACGTCAGAATGAACCAATTCTAGAACATTTTAGCCTCTAGAATTTGACGTGTTGAATTTCAACCGGTGATGCTTACTTGTTATTCAATGCTCACATAAAGTAAATGATACATTTGTTAAGTCTGGAAGTAGATTTTGCTCCACAAAGACTTTCATTACTTATTCTGACATGTGTCCAAGTTTCTGATGTCATAGCATTGCAGAATTTGAACTACATGAGGCAACAGAGGCTTCTGCTTCTAGCAAAATCTCTCCCTTCAGCATGTACAAGTTTGCAACTATCTTTTCGCCTTTCATCACCACAAGTGCTCCATGGAACACCTTCATGATTTCTTTTCGTGTTTCAATCTTGCTAGCATTAAAATCCAACAATCCATAGGATAATAAATTTTTCTTCAGGCCTTTCATGTACCGCACATTTCGAACAACTTTAATTGTTTCATCATACATCTTTAATTTGATGGTTACTACGCCAATGATCTCTAAGGCATGATCATTGCAGATTCATAATGATGGAACAATTATCTTCTTGAGATCATATGATATGTTGCTCCCGAATCAATGAGCTATATATCTGTAAATATTTTTCTGCATTCCATGGTGGTTGACACTTCACAACATAGAGCATCTCCATCATCTGAAGTGTTTGTAGTATTACCTTGTGGATTGAAGTTTTTATTTAGACTCCAACAATCATTCTTCAAGTGACATTTCTTTCCACAGTTGTAACACTTTAAATTCTTCTTGCTTCTCGACTTCGATCTACCATGTTTGTGACTGCTGCTTTGGCCACGTTCTTTTGATCTCCCTCTCATCGTTGTCAACGCTTCTGCTTGTTGCAGATTTGCTTGTCTGTCTTCCTTGTTCTTGCGCCAATTTTCTTCTTGTAGAACAACAGCTGCAACGTCATCGAATACTAAACTGGTGGCATTACTGTCTTTCAAGTTGATGATGAGATGATCATACGAATCTGGTATACTTTGAAGTAGAAGTTCAGCACGTTTTTGTTCTCTTATTTTACAGCTTAAGGATGTAAGCTGAGAAAATAAAGTGTTCAATGTATTTAAGTGCTCCGTCACTGAAGTAGATTCTGGCATACGGAGAGTTTACAATTTTCTCTTAAGGAAAATTTTATTGTGCAGCGATGTGGCCTCGTACAGTTTGGTGAGATGATCTCATATCTCCTTAATTGTCTTCTTTTTCTCGATGCTTGACAATACTTCATCTGCTAATGCTAGATGAAAGTTTGCCATAGTATTCCCGTCCATTTCGATCCATTTGTTGTCGTCTGAAAAATCTACCGGCCTTTCGTTGATAGCTGCTAGACAACTGTCTTTCCTCAGTATGACATTCATCTTTAATTTCCACAATGAGAAATTTCTCCCATTGAATTTTTCAATATCAAATTTCGTTACTATAACTTCTATTTCGGATAGCTCCGACTATTTCACTATCGTGAATAGTTCTCTGGATCCTTTAAAAAATGAGTAATACATTCTTACTTTCTTATGTTGGAGGATCCACCTTTTGGAGGATCCACCTTTTAGAGGCAAACACAAAGGCAAACACAAAGGCAATAAGCAGATATTATACACTCAAATTTGGCTCGGATACCAATTGTTGCGGAAGACGACTATCGGATAGAGCAAAATCGCAACTGATAATTTGAGAAAATAAAAATGAAGATAAAATAGACACAAAATTTACGTAGAAAACTATTAAATAATATAGGGTAAAAACCACGAACAACGGTAGAAGAATCTCACTATGAAAAAATAAGAATTACAACTTCTCTCGATCTACCAAGAAGAAAACAATGATAATTCTCTCTTGATAAAAAAGAGAAAACAACTCTCAAGAAACTCTCTAAATTCTCTAATATTGGAAGAAAGCTAGAATGTTTTGGGATGATTTTGAAGCTAAATGGGCTAGAATATTTATAGTTGAAGCTTAAGAATTAATCTTGAAAATACCCTAAAATACAATGACTAAATGTGAGATTGTACCTTTACCATTTTTCAACAATTAACACTTCTTTTGACAATTCCACCATTCAGTGGAATTATATAATTTCTTTCCTCAACTTTCGGTGCAAGTTGGCACCGATTTTCAACACCGATGTCAAAGGGTATTGACACATTATACAAGCAATATGTACGGTGATCACATGTCCATGTTATTGAATATTTCACCATCTTCCTCGTAACACAAGTTGTCTGCAACGAAACCATCAGCCACCAAGTTACTGCCAATAACAACATATGGTTATGAGGCCCCGAAGATAATCACCGAAGCTTGTAAATAGGTATAGATTATAAGGGACACAATTAGACATACCTTAAGCAGCAAAAGCTGAAACTCACTACACGCTTTGGTTTCCGATTGTAGAAGAAGAAACTGAAGGGCCTTCTGCAAACAGAAGTCCCCAACTATTGAATGATCAATTATGGCCCAATGACTTGACAAGTCATTGATATATTAATTAAACACACACACACTTACATAGCTCCTTTCTCTAGAAATGGATCTGCATTGGAATCTGGATTATAACTATAAATTTCGCACTCGGAGAGTTTAACAACCTGCATTACCCAGTTTTTTAAAATCACCACCTGCTGGGACTTGCATTTAGCAATATTGAAATTACACACACCTCATCTAGAGCCTTATAAATTGTTTCCAGGAGTGAACTGCCTCAACATGTCTCAACCCATTCCTGTCAATGATGTGAAACAAGAAACTTACATGCAATGCAAAGCGACTTATATATGGATACGACATCATAATTGAATGAATGCTAGAAATTGCTTGTCCCACATACTACAAACCACAATCAACACTAGCAGCATATCCTCCACATTCCTCTCTTCCACCCCAAATGACATGCACACACCACGCATTTGCACCAAGGGTCATGACTCATTAGTCTAACTCATTCATGAAGCAACTGATGGACAAATTCTAGACCAAAACCACGTGAGGCTATATTCATGACCAATATAAGAACCGCAAGAATGGAAGAAAGGTGAGTGCAACAATAATAACTGCAAGTTAAATCATTTGAGAAAATGCATATTCTCTCTCGCAATTTTGGCTTGTACACTTTTGAGATCCATGTCAGGTGGATAAATGAGTACTTATGCCAATACCTTTGAAGCTTCAAGCATGAAGGTATCAAAAATCTGTTTAAAGGTATCCCAGCTTTCTTTTGTGAAGAACTGGTGTGCTTTAACTGCACTGGAAACCACAAAGGCACATGCAATATCAAAATATAAGGGAAACATATCAAGACAGACATGAAGGTCAGTATAAAGCACTCAATGGCACAAAAATTTACTTGAATCATACAAACAAACCCATATAATCACAGGATTAGATTTGGGAAATGGAGAGAATTGAACTCTCAGCTCCTCCTAGAGAGACAGTAGGCTGAACTGTCCGTCAAAACCTTTAGACAACACTCCCAAAGCAAATAAAAGAAGATTATATAGTAGGTTGTCAAGTCGCCCAATAAGCTGACAGTGGCATTACCCATAATCCTCCTTTAAACACTCTTTGAACGAAAATGTACCGATGAAACATATACAGAGATACCTGAAGTCATAATCAGGATACATGTGATTGAGGGTGAGCACCAAATATATCAATGTCTTCCGGCTGAAATGCACATGACAGAAATCTGGTCAAATAATACAAATGAAAGCGAAAAGGAAACCATGTATAACTGCATAAAATATTTACAACTAGGGGTGTTTAATGAGTTGAACAGCTCATGAGCAGCTCGAACTCACTAGGTCAAAGCTCGATAAAAACTCAACTCGGGATGACTCAACTCGAATTCGAGCTCGACTCGAGACCTTAACGAGTTGATTCGAGCAAAGTCCAACTCAACTCGATAAGTTCGAGAGCAGCTCATTAATTTTTTTATATAATTTTTCAATAGTTATCTTAAAAAATTATTTCATTAAAAAAATACTAACTTACTAATAGATAATAGAAAAGATGATAAATTAAAAATCTATTAATTTTCTAATAAATAATAAAAAATACTAAATTATTAAATATTATTTTACTACACTAAAAAATAAACCATATTTATTATTTTAATGTATTTGTGGATTGTTACTTTGGAGTTTAGACTTCGAAATTGTTTCATATACTCTTTTGATAATATTTTTGGTTAAATTTATTAATTTATGTTTATATTAAGCTCTGTAAAGTATTAGCAGATTTTACCTATAATTACGAAAATAAGGTAAAATTTTCGGTGAGCTTAACGGGCATCGAGTTGAGCAACAAGTTTTTTTAATGAGCACGAGTCGAGGAAAAATTTAACGAGCTTAACGAGTCGAGCAACAATTTTTTTTAACGAGCACGAGTCCAGCACTGTCCAACTCGCGATCGAATAGCTCGATAAGCACCCCTATTTACAACCTTGATCTGCTCAATAGGAATTCAACAGGTGAGCGGGAGTCTGTATCCGAGGATTTCCCAAGATAGTCAAGGATCTGACGTGAAACAAACATCAGAAATCCTCAATCTCAACAATAATAAAATTCTAAAGAAATAGGAACCAATCACATGATATTTTGTATGTTCTCAAAACCTCGTTCTCAAAACTGAGTCTCTTTTATCCGTTCCAGTGTGTTTGCCTAGAAGCATAGGGGGAAACGGAGATTGAATCAAATACTCCAAAAAAAGGGACAACTTATGTAGGTGAACTTACAAGAGTATGCTTCAAGGCTTCCTTTGATGGTACTCTCACCGAGGTTTAAATCATTCAAGAAACCATTTATTCTAGAAAATAAGATACAAATTAAGTCAGACTTCAAATCAAAAGGCAGAAAGTGACAAAGATCATGAATCTAGGAACTAAGAGGGGGGAGGAAAATCTGTTACACTTCCGTTTTTAATAAGAAAGAATTACCGGTTGAGCGGAGTGTATTCCAAGAACTTCATACTGAATACGTTCAGATGAAATATTGGATCTTGCAGTCAAGGATGTCAAAACTGGACTGCACATGAAGAAAAGAAAGGATTTATACAAAGAATAGAAATTACTACAAGAACAGCGAAAACAAAACATCACTAATATGATGCAATCAGATTGAACTAGAACACACACGTCATTGGTATTAGGGGTGTAAACGAGCCGAGTCGAGCTCGAGTATTGCTGAGCTCAACTCGACTCGAAAACTCTGAAATGGAGCTCGACTCGACTCGAAAACTCGCAAGTTTAAAATTTTCAAGCTCGACTCGAACTCGAAATCTTGAACTGAAGCTCGTGAGCAGCTCGAAAAGGCTCGAAATGAAAAAAAAAATTCTTAAACTTAACTCGATTAAAGACTCAAACTCGAACATGAACCTTAAATACATGAAATCTTATTGTATTTTAAAAAAAATCAATACATAAATATTAATATTATTATTAATTTATTTTTTTAAAATAAAATCTCAATATATTATATTTTCGAGCTGCTCACGAGCTTTTCGAGTTGAATATCGAGTAGCTCGTTTCAGCTCGTTAAGAACTCGAGTCGAGCTCGAGCTCGAGTCGAGTCCATTCGATCCGAGTATTTATCGAGCCTTGATCGAGTCGATCTCGAATAGCTCGCGATCTGTCTCGTCTCATTTACAACTGGTATAGACCTCAATACTGTTCATCATAGAGGAATTGGGGGCTTTGGATACAAAATATGTACCGAATTTTGCTACTGCACATTCTAATTCAATAAATAAAAATTAACAGTATTAGAATATTTCACGGAACGATTTATTAATGTAATTGACACAGTTTAGTTGACTTTCCTCAGCTTTAACCCAAAAATCATATCTAGAACAAGCCACAATTAAATCCCAAATTTCACATGAATTGGATCAAAAGAACTTAGAAATGTAAAATCTAGGTTACAAAAAAATAACAGAATTTCGTAATCAAATCAGAACAACAAAAAGGGGGAAATTACACTTCGATTTCGGAGGAGACAGGGAAAGCTTGCCGGCGGGTACTAACGATCAAGCCTCGGGAAAATCAGAAATACAGGGAAAAGTCCAAAATTCAAAATGAAAATAATATAAGAAAGAAAGGTAGAATGACTTTTGTACCCTTTAACTTTATCAGTTTTGTTATTTGGTTTCTCTCTTTATAAATCTAAAGTGAATACAAGATAGTATATATTCATTCATTGAAAAATTATCAACTATTTAACAATAAACGTTAAAATTTATATATAGGCCGATGCTCGAATCTGAAATTTCAAACTCAAAGGACAACGTTAATCTCTTAATCATTTACATTGTTTGATTAGTGTTTGTTTTTATTTTTAAATATTAAAAATAATAAAAAATTGAGAATAACAATATAATAAAAAATAAATTATTTGAAATATTAAAAATTATTTGAAAATATAAAAGTTAAAGTTTAAAGTTTTGAATTAAAGTAATTCTGAATTCGGATTAAAATTGACAAAACGTACAATACCTCCAATGAAACATCGAAGGCATACATACGAGACGACAAAGTTCGTTGATAAAGAAAACTATATATATATATATACCTTACCCATTTAAAATAAATTTTAAAAAATAATAAAATGTAACACAAATCAATTTAATTCAGTGGTTAAAGGAATCGTTGTTGTTCCTAGAGTTCAAGAGTTTGAGCACCAGCAATTGCAGTAGGATGATTGAACGTTTATTATTAAAATAGTTGAAAATATTTAGAAATATCACCTTATAATCACCTTAGCTTAATAAAAAATGATATAATGTAACATTGTCAAGGGTATCCAAATATGTTATGCGCGTTTTCTTTGGGCTTAAAACAAAAATTATATAAAATTTAACCTAAACTGATTAAAATTAATTTAGGCTTAAGGACACAGATGTTCCTGTAATAAACAAAATTTATCAATTTCGCCCCTAAAGTATTTTCGCATCAATTTTTATTCTCAAAGTTGTTTAATTGCATCAATTTGTACCTTTGACCGTTTTGACAAACAGAACCGTTAGTTTATGCTTACGTGGACGCCGACTATTTCCACGTCAAATAATTTTGCTGACGTGTTAACCTGATGAGGTGGCAATAACAAAAAAAATATTTTGTTAAGTAAACAATTACACGGTATGGGTCTTAAAGATGGAAGTTTTACCAAAACAAATTCAGGGGGTCGTGGTTGCCATCGACATTGACGATGGAGGAGAGAAGAGCAAGCAAACAGACAGACAACAAGGAAGACATCAGGAGATACACCGATCGTAAAATAAATTGAATTGTTGTTTAGATGAATAGAAAATAAATTGAACATAAAAAGGATGCCATCAAATTCTCGGCAACCAAACCTAAAAAAAGAAATAAAAAAAAGGGGGGGACTTCTGCAACGGGCTATGCCACCCAAACCAACTAAGGGAAGTCGCATCCGTCCCATCGCAAGCACCTACAACGTCATGATCACATTGGTTTACCCTTTTTTCTTTGGTAGTTCAACGGACGGTCGCCCCTCCAACAAGAAAAGGTATAAATATAGAAACTTCTCTGCCATTTGAATGAAAGACCGAGGAGACCATCGAAAGGTCCTTGATTTCCTTTTTCCCTTTAAAGCAAATAAATTGAATTGCTCTGCTTGTTCTAAATCCATGGAGGCCGAGAAATCTTGGTTTCCTACAATCCCTGCTTTACTCCCCATTTTCCCTATCAAGATTTATGTAAAACCGAATATTTTTTGTTGATAGATGGTTGGGATTCAAACGGGTTTACCATTGCCGTTAAAATGAGAGATTGTAGCGCAGTTAACAGAATATAAATTAAATTGCTCTGCTGTTTCAAAACAGGTTTTGTCCATCCTGTGAATTTTTTCATACCCCCACTTTCCATGCAGAAATATGTGAATCCAGTAATTGGTGTAATCTTCTACCATGAAATATACCTTCAACTGCATTACAATCTCCCATTTTGACGGCAATGGTAAACCTGTTCGAATCCCAACCATCTATCAACGAAACAAGCTAGTATAAATGAGATCATATCGTGGGTTCCTTCTTTCCAGCGTCGACACCATAAGACGGTTAGTGACGACGAATGGAAGTGTTTTACTTCAAAGGAGCCGAGAAGTTTTTTTTAAGATCTACAGCAAACAAGCGATTTGGGAAAAAATGGACTTCAGATGCATGATAAGAAAGTCGAAGTGAGCTAATTGATGAAGTTTGATCTTGACCGGCCACTGACAATGACAAGCGATACGGTAGTCACCGGTGATCGATCGGTGAAGCCAATGGAGCAACCATGCCTGAGTGAAGAGAACGGGTAGAAGGGGAAAGAAATAAAGTGAAAAAAATATTAAAATGATGATACATATTTAGTTCCAAAACTACGTAGTTTAAGGATGGTAGAAGAAAGAAAAGGAAAAATCACAAGTTCAGTCCTCTAAAAAAAGAACAAAAATACAATTTCAATCCTCTGACATGGAAATAAATGACGTCCACACAAGAATAAACTAACGATTATATTAGTCAAAATGGTCAAAGATACAAATTGATGTAATTAAACAACTTCAAGAGTAAAATTAATACGAAAATATGATAAAAACGATATTGATACTACAAGGACATCTCTCACCCTTGAGCCATTATTTAAATTATGTTGCAATAGGATTTTCATCTTAAAAAGATGATTACGAAATTTTCTTAAATAATTATAAAATAGTTACAAAATTTATCAAACTATTATAAAACAAATTTTAAATTATTAAAACTCATCAGTACTTTACAATGTCCAATGATCATTACAGCTGTTCATAGCTTCCGTAATCAACAGATCATTTCAGCCTAACTTAATAATCATTTATATAATTTACCCTAAAATTTAACCGAGTATGTTGTCATTCCTCAAGCTTAACATAAAACCATATTCAAGTTTTTTGTTATCATATATCCAAAGAAGGAACAACAAATGCCAGGGATTCAAACAGCGAACAGTAACAGTCACTAAATCACCAAATAACGCTGCCAAACAATGTCTGAGATAAAAGAGAATGTTATTTTCCCTAGAAGATCCAGATTCGAATAACTTTTAGACAAAGCAAGATAACATCAGTTTTCCTGCTTCATGGCACACAGCTCAATCTTTACCAGAGATTCCATGAGAAAAAAGCACAATATGAATGCATTGCTGCCAGTCCTGAATTTCAACATCTTCATTTTCCTAAAACCGATCCAACAACCATAGGCTCGGATGTGCACAACAGCATAGCCATGCAAGCACAAACGGGCAAACATGTGATACTGCTTAACGGCAGACAAAAAAATATAGGATTTGCAGGCAAACTTAAGCAAAGAAATGCCCTAAAAGACTATTATAAATCCCATATGCTGCATGGATCAAATGAGAAGACTACGATTATAGCATCGAACATGCCATAATCATGCAAGGACAGCAAAACCGCAATCCAACTCATCTATCATAGTGCAGTCATATTAAGGTAATACACATCCTATGATAAACCATGAACTATAATGGCATAACGACATTACCATTTCAGCATACACACATGGAACAAGGTGAGAGCATGGAGAAGTGAGGGATTTACTAACTCAAAAGTGCAACCAATTAAGATACACCATTTGCTCTGATTAAGTTATGGCAAATAAAACATTAGACTTTTTCGTATCACTCTGGACAACCCTATGGACCAATCAAATTAATAAAATGGAATCTAAAATACCACCTCAATTAGCAGACTGGTCTTTACCCGTTGCTGTAGTAGGCCTGAAACAACCAATTTTGCACAATCCAACGGATCTCATAATCTCCCCAAAGCTGCAGCATTCAATCACAACAGCCAATAAAACCACTTTCTCATAAGACTCATGGCATTATAACTCAAAAGAAAGGCAAAGAAATTGTGAGCATGAATTCAAACTAACCGATCAATACTGTTCCTCGCTTTCTCAGGTTGGTCTGAGCTTCCATTACATAATTTGTCAGGTCGATCTACACTCTTTCTTGATTTTTCTCTTC